GCCAGGATGGCCAAACTTCATCTCTCATACTTCGGACATATTGTCAGGAGGGACCAGTCGCTGGAGAAGGATATCATATTTGGTAAAGGTGGAGGGTCAGAGAAAAAGAGGAAGAACCCCAGGGAGATGGATTGGCATGAATGGGCTCAAGAATGGCAATAATAGTGAGGTTGGCCCAGGATCGGGTAGTGTTTCATTCTGTTGTCCATAATGTCACTATGAGTCAGTATTGACTTGAGGGCACCTAACAACAACAATACAAATGGAGAGAAGATTGAAGTTGTCATTCATTTTGCTCGGATCAACCATCAACATTCATGGGAGCAGAAGTCAAGAAATCAGACACCGTTTTGCATTAGGAAAATATGCTACACAAGTCCTCTTTAAAGTGTTGAAAAGCAAAGATGTCAGCTTGAGGACTAAAGTGCTACTGACCCAAGCCATGGTATTTTCAATAACCTCATATGCATGTGAAAGATTGACAGTGAATAAGGAAGATCATAGAAGAATTGATGCATTTGAGTTATGGCTTTGGAGGAGAATATTGAAAGTACCATGGACTGCCAAAAGAACAAACAGATTGTGTTGGAAGTACAGTCAGATTGCTCCTTGAAAGCCAGAATGGCCAGATTTAGTCTCTCATATTTCAGACGTATTATCAGAAGTGACAAATTCCTGTAGAAGGATATCATGTTTGGTAGAGTGGAGTGTCAGAGAAAAAGAGGAAGAACCCCCACGAGATGGATTGACGCAGTGGCAGCAGCAGTAGGCTCAAGCATAGCAACGATTATGAGTTTGGCACAGGACCCAGCTGCGTTTTGTTCTGTTGTTCATAGGGTCGCTATGAGCTGATACTGACTCAATGGCACCTAACAACATAACAACAACAACATGTTATATAAATAACATTTTATGAAAAAATAGCTTTTTCCACACACAAAAAACAGTGAGAAGAGAGACACTGTTTTATATTTTGTAAATCTCTTTACTCTCTGGCTTAATAGAAGATAGCTGGATTTTCAAGTCTACTTCTTTGTACAGCCTATTGTGATTCCACCTGTCTTATAACCTTCGGGAAGTGAGAGTGAACAAGGAAATCACATCTCATTATTATTATAAAATGGCTCTGACCTCCCAGCCCTCAAACCATACTTTGCGGTCCACTGGTATTAATAACAGTAAATGTAATAATGTATGTACAGTGTATAGCCATAGTAAGGGCTGTGACATAGTAAGGGCTCAATATGTAGCACCTTTCTATGTTATAATTTGAAGAGAAAAGAGCAGGATAAAATCCTGGATAAAAATACCCATTGAACCACAAGGTTGGAGGTTCAAGCTCACCAGCCGCTCCTTTAAAACCTTATATAGGATCACTATGGGTTGGAACTGACTTGACAGCATTTAACAACAACAGCAACAAAGTGTTGTCCCAATTCATAACAACCCTATGTACAACAGAACAAAACACTGTCCAGTCCTGCACAATCCTCATAATTGTTGATTTGTTGCAGCCACTGTCTATTCATCTCGTTGAAGGTCTCTTTTTCATTGACTCTCTGTTTACCAAGCATGGTGTCCTTTTTTCAGGGACTGGTCCCACCTGATAACAAATCCAAAGTTCATGAGAGGAAGTCTCACCATCCTCACTTTTAAGGAGTATTTTGACTGTCCTTCCTTGAAGGCAGATTTGTTTGTTCTTCTGGCAATCCATGGTACTTTCAGTTATCGCCATCAACACCGTAATTCAAATGCATCAATTCTTCTTCAGTCTTCCTTATATGTTGACCAACTTTCATATGCATATTAGGCGATTGAAAATACCATGGCTTAGGCAAGGTGCACCTTAGTTTTCAAAGTGATATTTTTATTCTTTAAGAGGTCTTGCGTAGCAGATTTGTCCAATGCAATATATTGTTTGCGTTTTTGACTGTTGATTCCATGAGTATTGACTGTGAATCCAAGTAAAATGAAATCCTTGACAACTTCAATCTTTTCTCCATTTATCATGATGTTGTTTGTTGGTCTAGTTGTGAGGATTTTTGTTTTCTTAATATTGAGTTGTAATGCATACTGGAAGCTGTAGTCTTTGATTTTCTTCAGTAATTGCTTCAAGTCCTCTTTGTTTTCAGCAAGCAAGGTTATGTCATCTGCATATCATCACATGTTGTTCATGAACTGTCCTGCAATCCTGATGCTGTGTTCTTTTCCATATAGTTAGTCCACCTTCTTGAATTATTTGCTTGGCATACAGATTGAATAAGTATGGTGAAAGGATACAACCCTGATGCATACCTTTCTAATTTCAAACCACCCAGTATCCCCTTGTCCTGTTCATTTGACTGCCTCTTGGTCTATGTATAGGTTCTTCATGAGCATGATTAATTATTCTGGAATTTCTTATGATCCCCACAGTTGAATGCTACTGAACAGTCAATATAATACAAACAATCATTCTCTGCTTTCAACTAAGAGAGTCAATATAATACAAACAAATATTCTCTGCTTTCAACTAAGATCCATCTGTTGTCAGCAATGATACACCCCTTGTTCCACGTATATGGTGTGCAATGTGTATGTTATTTTATTCTTCTACAGGTGGATTTCCAGTTTGGTTAGCACCATTTCTTGAAGAGAATACATCTACTCTATTTAATGCATTTTGGTCCTTTGTCAAAGGTATCCAACTTGAATTTCTGGCAGCTCCCTGTTGAAGTACTGATGCAATTGTTTTTTAATTATCTTCAACAAAATTTTACTTGCATGGAATATAGTTCAGTAATTTCTCCCATTTGATAATGCATGTGACACCATTCCTCTTGAATTTGTCATTGCCGGCGTAGTAAACCACATGATTTTCCAATTCAGAACGACCAATACCAATCCATTTCAGCTCACTAATGCTTAGGATATTGATTTTATGTGCTCCATTTCACTTTTGATGACTTTCAATTTTCCTAGATTCATACTTCAAACTCCAATTATTTAAAAAAAAAACAAAAAAAACTTTTTCTTGTGGATTGAGTGAAGGTTTACAGAGCAGATAATCAGTTTTACTGTCAATAAATCATATACTTCATTTCATTACAATGACTGCAGTCCCTTCTATGTATTATCAGTTAACAGGTGGATAGATTGACTTCTGGGTTCTCAATTATATTCCATTGATCTATGTGTCTTTCATTTTACCAGTACCAGGCTTTTGATGACTGTGGCTATGTTTAGGTTTTGAGATCTGGAAGTAAGAGCGTTCTACTTTGTTCTTCTTTTATAATAATGTTTTGCTTATCCAGGGTCTCTTTCCTTTCTATATAAAATTAATGATTAGTTTTTCCATCTCTTTAAAGAATAATGTTGGAATCTGGGTTGGGAATTGAATTATATTTATAGATTGCTTTGGGAAGTGTTGACAAAAATGTTTATTTTTGTCCTATCCACGAGCCTGGTATAGTCCTCCATTTCTGCAGGTTTCTTGTTTGTTTGTGTGGTTGGTTATAGTAGTAGTAGTGTTTTGTAGTTTCCTTTGTTCTTTTGTTCCTCTGCTTAGATTTGTTCACAACTATTTCTTCTTTAAAGTGGTATTGTTTTCGTGATTTACTTTTCAGAGCTCTTTTTATGAAATCATAAAAATAATATGTAAATAGAGTTTAACTTGTTATTTGCCAATTTGAGTGCCTTTAATTTCTCTTTCTTTGCCTTATAGCTCTGGTTAAAACTTCCAGTACAATATTGAATAGGAGTGGTGATAAAGGGCATCCTGTCAAACTTTGCACTCTTGAAAGTGATGTTGATAGTTAATTTTGTATATGTACCATAAATTATATTGAGGAATTTCCCTTCTATTCCTATTTTGTTGAGTGTTTTTATCAGGAAGGGATGTTGGATTTTGTAAAATGCCTTTTCTGCATTAATTGATATGATCATGTAACTTTTTTCTTGGCTATATTTATGTGGCAATTTATGCTGATAGTTTTCTAATGTTGAATCATCACTGCATACCTGGTAAGAGTCCCACTTTGTCATAATATATTATCTTGTTACTGAATTCCTTTAGCTAGGATTTTGTTAAGAATTTTTTCATATATGTATATGAAAAAAAATGTTTGTTAATTTTCTGTGTTTATTTTTTTTGAAGTTGCCACAGGTTTATTGGAGATTTTTTTTATGTTTTATTGTGAATTATGTGATAGTTTACATGGGAGAACATTAGTTTTACATTAATTTTCTGTTAAAGTGATGTCTTTGCTTAGTATCAGATGTCTTTGCCTGTTTTGGTATCAGAATTCATCATAAAATGAACTGAGGATTTTGTAATATTAATCCTTCTCCCCTTAATCTATTCCTGGCAAACTCCTGTTGTCATTAAATGCCATCTATGTCCATTTCATTTGGTATCCCATATTCTTGTTGTAGAGGGTCTGTGTAGCACGTCTGCCTAGTCCGCCATCTTGCTGAAAGTCCTTGTATTAATGAATGTTTGCAACTGTTCCTTTTCATTTTGAATCATACCCCATTGACAAATGAGGCTCCCAAAAGGTTTGCTCCACATACATCATTAAGGTCAACTCTACTCTGAATTGGCAGCTCTTTCCCAATCACATTTTGAGTGACTTCCAACCTAAGGGGCTCATCTTCTGGCACTATGACAGTGTTCCATTGATATTTATAAGGCTTCCAGTGGCTAATCTCTCAGAAGTGGACTGTCAATTTCTTCTTCCTAATTGGTTTCATCTGAAAGCTCCACTGAAACCTGTCTGCTATGGATGACTCTGTTGGTATTTGAAATATTGGTGTTATAGCTTCTAGTAGCATAGCAACATGTAAATCACTTCAATATGACAACAGTTATTGGTATTGACCAGCAATTATTGAGCACCTACTGCATGCCGGGGCCTGTGTGAGCACCTAATTATGTGAATCTTCACCCATCTACACTTCCCAGCGTTGAGTCTTTGAGGGAAATTGTTGGTACTAAGAGAAGATTTTCCCTCTTCATCCAGGCGGGAAGTCCAGGAGTACATCCCAGGCCAGCTCTACCACACAACAGCCGGCTCCACCTGGCTCAGCCTAGTCAGCCAGCACTGGCAGCAGACACAGGCACTCAGCCCCCACCAAGCTCGTGCCCAGTTTCTAGGTAAGAATCGGGGGCTGGGCATGGAGGGGACCAGGGTTTGTCAGGGTTCTGGAAGATGGGAATGCAGAAGGCATTCCATGAGCCAAGGCTGGAAGTGTGAGGGTGATTAAAGAAGTGTGGCTGCATCTTTGAGAGAACTTGAATTCAAGCCTACCACTTTACCCTGAGGGCATTTTGGAGCCCTGGAAGAACTTAAATAGTGGAAGGGGACAGACCAGTTGGGTTTAGCACCTACAGGACAAAGGCCCAGGCAACAGAATAGTGGCTGCTGCAGACTTCCAGGGTGGAAAAGATGGAGTTTGATTGGGATGGGGAGCAAGCAACATGAAAGGTCAAGAGACATTCAGGAGGAAGAATAGACTCCTTGGTGAGAGGTAGGCTCCTGGAGGGAGAAAGCTGGAGGAGGGGCGCACTAGCCAGCTTGAGCTCCTTTGAGGATGGTAGGGTCACCTAGCAGGGAGGAAGCAGGTGGGGGGAAAGTGAGGACCTATGGGTCACTGGAGAGAGCTGAATCAGAGCTTGGTCCACAGTCTAGACAGGAGCACTAGTAGTCCTCAGGGACTAGAGATCTTTGTAGCCCAGGGGTAGGGGAGGCCCCCATGGACAGTGGTACAAGCAGAGCAGTACAAAAAGACTGCATGTGGCTGAACAGCAAGGTGGCATGGGCCCTCCTCACCAACTGGAACTGCTTAGAGGAAGGTGCCCCCAGAGATGGCATCTCTTTTTTTGTCTCTCTCATTCACAGGAAGCACATTTTTCTTTGTACAAAGCTATTTTCAGTGCCAGCTGAGCACTAACCTCGGGGTAGGTCTGAACATAAAGAACTGGAAGAGATGGAGAGGATGGAGGAAAAACTGAGATTAGGGGATCGGGGACCCAGACATGGGAGGAGCCAGACCATGCCAGATGCAGCAGGGAGAAGAGGGGACTATGGCTGTGGCTCATGAGTCCTGATTGTCCAATAACCAATACCCCATCTCGCTACCCCAGGCCTCCTCAGTGCCTTGCCCATGTTCGGCTCTTCCTTCTTCTTCGTTCAGAGCTGTAGCAATATGGCTGTGCCAGCCCCTTGCATTCTTGCTGTCAACCATAATGGCCTCAACTTCCTCAACACCGAGACCCACGTGAGTCCCCTGAGCCCAGCGCCACCCAGCACCCCCTTGAGGGGCCACGACCACTGCTTCCCACCTACGTGACTTTGGGCCAGTGTCTTCCGCTTTCTGAGCCTCACTTTTCTCATCTGGAAGATGGGGATGATAGGCAGGCCCACCTTCTAGTGCTGCTGTGAGTCAGCACTCAAGTGGGACCATTCTCCCCTTTCTCAGATCTGGCCCCCAGAAGTAAGCCCTAAATAAAGATGACAGTGCAAGTGGCTTATTTGGAGGTGATTCTAGAAAATACTGCCGTGAGGAAGTGACTTGGCACGGGTGGAGTCAATAAAGGGTGTGTTAACAAGCAAGTTACAGCTGTGAGCAGCTAGAGCTCACTCAGACGGGAGAGCTGTGGGAGACATTATAGAACTACACCTCTGTTAGTTCACCTGAGGGGGAGATCCTCCCAACAATGGGATGTTGCCCACAATTTCCCTGGCTGTCAAGTTGAGGGCTCCTTCCTGATGTGCTAACTCTATACCTGGCTTGCCAGTATATGGTCTAAGACCAAAAATAAAGCAGAGGTACAAGTTTTGACAAGAAGCAGCTTTGATGTGTAGTGGTGAAGGGCAAGACACCATGCCCCTGGGCCCCCAGCGTTTAGAACAGGGTCTGGCAGAGTGCCAAGGTCTTGTCAATTTTGGTTCTATCAGTTTCACAGGTGAGGAAACTGAGGTCATCAACTTGTTCAAGTCATTGGGGAACTGGTACTTGAACTAAGTTCTCTTACCTTCTACTGAGCTGATTTGCAGAGGAGCAGGAGGAACAGTTGAGAGCCCTGAGCCACAGAAGAACCTCAACCTACAGCCTGTCTCATCCTCTCCCCCAACTCCCAGGAGCTGATGGTGAAGTTCCCTCTGAAGGAGATCCAATCAACCCGGACCCAGCGGCCCACGGCCAACTCCAGCTACCCCTACGTAGAGATCTCACTGGGGGACGTGGCAGCCCAGCATACCATGCAGTTGCAGCTGGAACAGGTGTGCCCAGCTCCGACCCTGAGGCCTCATTACCCAACTTCTCACTCATAACTCATTCATTGAACCCAAGACCCCAAGGATTGTGCAGCCCAATGCAGGTAGAACCAAACCCAATACATCTGTCATTATGGGGTCTTCCAGGAAAGTATATTGTTAGTGGAACCACAGGAGAGGATCCAAGTTGTTTGCAGAATAGTGAGGAGTGGATGGGGCTCTGGGGATGACTGGCCAGGTCGGGCAGATCTTAAAGGGCCCTGGATGTCAAGCTAAGAATCTGGGGCTTTCACCGGAGGGTACTAGGGAGCCACAGAGGGCTGGTGAGAGGAAGGGACACAGTAGATTTGAGGAACCAGCTCAACGGCACTAACAACAACACAAACCTGGACTAAGGCATGGAAGTCGGACTGTGGAGCCTAGGACTAAAGATGGGGGACAGGGATGTCCCTAGCTGACAGACAGGGTAACTGAGGCCCACCTGCCCTGTACTCTCTCATCAATTGTTGCTGTTCCTTAAAAGGCAATGGTCACCCACTGGACTCCTGTCCAAGCCTTATAGACTGAGTAAGGAAAGGTTGGACCAGTTTTCAACCAGTTGTAGAGATAGTTTTAAGACCCAGATAAGGGGCAGAATTGGATCTGGGACCCATACTGTCTGACCTGTCTAGCTCTCCAAATCCCACCTTGAGATCTGGGCCAGGAATCCTCATGCCTCCATGCTGGTCCCTTCCTGAGAGGGGCTTATTTCCTAGAGGACGAGAGAGAGGCTTTCATTGCCCCAGCCCTCAACCTGGGGACAGGGCCAGAACGAAGTCCTCTCGGCCCTCTGGGAAGCTGTGATTCAGAGTCAGTCTTCCCTAGTCTGCTTCCATTTATGTTGTAGTTCTGCTTCTGCTGAGGACCACCAAGATCCTTGACTGACACCCGAGGAGCTCTGGGCACCAGCCCTCTGGAGTTCCCATGTCATCTTCCTACCTCCCTGGCCTCCTGACTTTGGCTTCCTTTCCTGTATCTCTGCCTTGGAAGATCTCTAAACATTGCTGGGTCTCTAAACATATCCTGTCTGGTTTTAGGGCTTTCAAAATCACCTTGACTGTGATTGCCCCTATAGATCTACCTTGTGCCCTGACCCCCAACTCCAGGTTGCTCTGCATCTTCCCAGAGGCCAACAGACCTCTTCTTCTTGCCATCTGATCCTGCAGACTTGCACCTCACCCTCCTTGGATCCTCTCCAGTCTCCCAGGCACTCAGGCCCAAAGCCCAGGAGTCCCTCCCATTTCCTCATCCCTCCTCTTATCTCTGTGGCATCTCAGACCTCCCTCTGCCCACTTTGGGCCAGCCTCCCTAGTCTCTTCAAGTTTCCTTAGGCCAAGCTTGCCTTCCTCTGCCCTGGCCCAGGCTTTTTATAATCACTCTTCTCCTTTATTCGTCACAGGGCTCCCATTCTCCCTTTATTTGCTTTTCAGCACAAATATCTGTCACCATCTGAGAAGTCTTCTTTGGCCTTCCTCCCAATAATTCACTCCATTTGCTTACATATTGCCTCTCTGCCCCTCAAGATGTCAGCCCCAAAGAGCAGGGGAATGTTGGCAGCACCCACCCCCACTCCACCATGTCCATGGCACACTGTTGGGGTGGAGCAGGCACCTAGTGGGATGGTGGGTGAATAGGTGGAGACCTTTCTGGCTCCTCCTCTTCCTTGCAGCTTCCTCTTTATGCTGCCATCTCTGCTTTTGGCCTGTGTGTGTTAGGGATGCATTCACTCATTCATTCATCATAGAACTGATGGGCTTCGCCATGTACCAGCTCCAAGGGAGCTGAAGTGACCAGGACCCTGGGCTCTTGGCCATCATCCTCACAGACCCTTGAGTCTCTTGGAGAGCTAGGCATGAGGAATCTCTGGAATAAACCATGATCAGTACTGGAAGGGCATCAGGAATGGCTTCCAGAAGGAGGTGATATCAGCACTCAGTGGCCATTGCAGCTGACAAAGCTGAGTCCCCATCCTGCCTTCTTCTAATAGTCTGTGTGAGGGGATCCCGAGCCATCCTGCTTCTCATTCAGCCTGTTTCCCACCTGCCACAATCCCATTGAGGTCTGAAACACAACCTTTGTACATGTAGGGAAGGACCCTCCCCACATGTACAAAGAGGCACATCTAGGTTCCCCAGTCTAATTAGCCAAAGTGGACACCAGGACTGCAAACCTCACCCAAGAGAAATTTAGAGTGATCTTGGGCTTTGTATCTCCTGCTTTCAGATCCCCACACCTACCAGTTGTGAGATCTGGGCCTCATTCCCTCTCTTGGCCTCAGTTTCCTCAGTGGCCTCAGAGGGACACTGTGAAGCTTAAATGAGAACAATGCCTAGCACACAGTTGATGCTCAATAGTGCTGCTGTCATCATTTTTACCCTCAGAGCAGCTTCTCTTGGTCCCCAGGAAATCCGTGGAGGAATTCTGACACTGGCTTTGTCTGAGAACCACACTTCCAGACTGATTTCCCCCCACTCTCTGCTGCCTTTCTGCAACTGGGAGTCCTGGGGCTGGGTCACGGCTCCTCCCAGGTTGTGGTGCCAGGTGGTAACTATGACAACACATAAGTTAAAAACAGTGACTTTGTATTCATTGGATTAATATTAAAACTTAAAACCAAAAGGATTTATAGGAAGTAAAGTCTCATTTAATCATTACAACAGCTTTGTGAGGCAGTAAGTAAACAGTCAATTGAGAACCTACAGATGAGAACACTGAGGTTCAAGAAAGTGAAATGACTAGCCCAGGACTACCTGTTCACTAGCCCAGTTCGCTAGCTCAGAGCCAGTGGATGTTCAGGCCCCCTCCGCCAGGCACTGGCCCTTGCAGTCTGCAGCTGACTCTCCTGCCTCACTACTCATACTTCTCCAGGGCCTGGGGAACAGGTAGGCAGGTGCGGATTCTCACTGTGTCTCCTACAGGGCCTGGAGCTGTGTCGAGTGGTGGCCGTCCACGTGGAGAACATGCTCAGTGCCCGAGAGAAGCGACTTACGCTGCCCCCCAGTGAGATCACCCTGCTCTGACTGACCCTGGCTTCCAGCTGCCCTCCACAAGATGACTCAGTGGTTATAAGGGGTCAAAATTTTGGGAAGTTAGGAGGAGGCACTCAAATCCCCAAGATCCCTCAAGGACCAACCCAGCATTGAGATGGAGTTGCAGCATGCAACCAACTGAAAGAACTTACAAGGGCTGCCTCATGATGCAATTGAGCAGAAGACAGGACCTGAGCCAGGGGATCTTCTGCCACATACATATCCATTGCAGGCCCTGCCCAGACTAGACTCACTTATGGCAGGGAAGCCTCACGTCAGTGGTCTAGATGAACTAGACTTTACTTATGGTGTACTCAGGGTCTGATGCATGAATCTGCTTGGACTTCATATCCCATCCCTGCATATCCTTCTTAAGTGCCCCCCTTGGACCCCTTTTCAGTCTGGATGTGTGATCGTTCGTAGTTTTTGTGCAAATACAAGGTGCATCAGAAGAACCTGATGGTGCCCCAACTAATGAACTGCTCTGAAAGGGAGGGATCACATTAGAAGATCCTGGAAAGAGTGGAAGAAAATGTGGGGTGGGGGGGGAAACAAACTTAAAATTATAAGAAAGACCAGACATACTTTCAGATAGAGACTGGTGGAACCTTGAGACTATGGCCCTTGGACACCCTTCCGGTCTGGAACTGAATTTTAGCCAAGATAGATCTATAGGAAGGATAGCAACACTGATGAGGTATGCATACCAGAGAATTATCAACCTATTTGAGATCAACAGGGCAACATTTCCCTATGACAAAATTCACAGACAAGCTGGGAAAGGAGGAGGAACGGAATTAATAAACACACAGAAAAAGTGGGGAAATGATGTTACACTAAGGGGATTGCAATCATTGAGATGAAATGGAGTAATGATCAATTCACAATAAAGTAATGATCAATGCACAATAAAAAGGTTGTTGTTGTTGTTGTTGTTTTCTAAAAAAAATGTATCCAACTCCTCCTAGGAGTTGCTAAGTGTCTGGGAAGCAAGTCAAAGGCAAGAGGCAGGAATTGGGGCTCAATTGTGCCTTGACTTCCTGCCCATGAATAAAGCTTCCAGAGAAGCTCTTACCTCTCCCTGTAGATCCCCACTTTTTCTCCTTACATGACCCCAACACCAGTCCCCCATTACTGGATGAGTAACACAGCTTCAAGAGTAATGTAGTGAAGGTAGGGGGAAGTCTGAAAAAGGACTTCCCAGAGAATGGGACGTAGGAGCTGGGTTTTCCAGGATAAGCAGGAGTTTGCTGGAGTGCTGGTGTGGCACTGTAGGATAAGCACTGGTCTGCTAACCACAAGATTGGAGGTTCAAGTGCACCAGCTACTCATTGGAAACCCTACACATGGACACCATGAGTTGAATCGACTAGATGGCATTTAATGACAACAGGAGTTTGCCAGGAATAGATTAAGGGGAGAGGGATTAATATTACAAATAAAGACTTGGGCTAAGACTCAGAAAAACAAAAATTCAGGTAGGTGTGGGAAACCCAAAGCAGAGTTAACCAATCCCCAGTGTGCCTGACCCTTTGTGAAAGAGAATAAGAGGAGGAAAAAGTGGTTGTCAAAGCTGGAGACAGTCACACTCCTAAAGATGGGTGTGGAGGAGAGACACCATGCTATTTGGACACTTAGAAGTAATAGGAAGGGCTTCATTGCTGCCCCATGTGGACCAAGTCAGGTTCCAGCATCTACATACTCACCTCACTGGCTTCCCCAGCAGAGATACCGCCTCCTACCCAGGACCCGCAAGCTTCTTATGGAATTTTGGGCCCCATGGTTAAAAGCCTAGGCTATGTAGCCAAAGAGGCCAGTGTTCAAATTCAATTTGTTTTTGCTTGTTTGTTACTATTGGCTTTAACAAACAGAAATAGCTTTTCTCAGTTTCACAGTTTAGGAGGCTAGCAGTTCAAATTCATAGTGCGAACTCTAGGGGGAGGCGCTCTCTCTTTGTTGGCTCTAGGAAAAGGTCTTTGTCTACTTTCAGCATCTGTAGGCCCAGGATTTCTTGGAGATCTCCATGTACACTGTCATCAATGTTCCCCTGGGTCTAGGAACTTCACAGTACAGGGACCCCACTCCTCTACTCATTTCTCTCTTTTAAGATAAAAAGTGTTGCCTGCCACACCACTGGGAATCTCCCTTACATGGATTAGGACTGTGTGAATCTACTCTGCCAGGCCATTTTCTCTCAACAAAGCTGCTCACAAAAGCCCAAGATGGCCGTACTGTGTCTGGCCACCATTCACCAGTCAATCTCCCTCTCTAGTTTCTCAGTTTCTCCTCCCAGTAAGTATTCAATCCACTTCTCTAACCTTTTCTCTGAAGTTCAGAGTCCCAAGATCTTCATCTGTGTCTGTTTCATTTGGTCTCTTGTATCTTTGTTGTAGACAGTCTGTGTAGCACATCTGCCTAGTCCGCCATCTTGCCAGAAGTCTCTTGAAATACTCTTTTTGATGATGAATGCGATGTCATTCCTCTTCAATTTGACAGTCCTGGCATAGTAAACATGATTGTAGGATTCAAAATGGCCAGTACCAGTCCATTTCAGCTCACTAAAGCCTAGGTTTTTTATCTTTATGCGTTCCATTTCATTTTTGACAAATTTCAATTTTCCTAGATTCATATTTTGTACATTCTGCATTCTGTTGTTACTAGATGTTTACAGCTTTTTATTACCCTCACTTTGAGTTGTGCCCTACCACAAATAAAGGTCCCCAAACCTGTGCTCCTTCCACATCGTTAAGGTCAATTGTCTTTTAAGGAGGCAGCTCATCCCTAGTCATATTTTGAGTGTCTTCTAACCTTAGGAGCTCATCTTCTGGCATTTTATCTGATGTTGTCTGCTGCTATTCATGTTTTCAGTGGCTACTCATTCACAAGTAGTTTGCCTCTCCTTGCTCATAGTCTGGAAATTCCACTGAAACCCATCCACCTTGGGTAACCCTACTGTTATTTAAAATGTAAGCTTCCAGCATCACAGCAACACACAAATCACCACAACATAACAAATGGCATGGACAAGTGGTAATTTTAGTTATTTAGTGCTGCTATAAGAGAAATCCCACCAGTGGATGACTTTAACAAACAGAAAAGTATTCTTTCCCAGTTTAAGAGGCTAGAAGTTCAAATTTAGAGTGCTGGCTCTTAGTGGAGGGTTTTCTCTCTTTGTCAGCTCTGAATAAAGGTCTCTGTCTCCTTTTAGAATCTGTAAGGCCCAGTCTTCGTGGAGATCTCCATGTGTCCTGGCATCAGTGTTTTCATGCACTTAGAAGCTTCATAGTGCAGGGACCCCAGGTCCAAACAATGCACTCAACTCCTGGCTCTTCTTTCTTTGTGTCAATAGGTCCCTCTCAACCTGTGTCTGTCTCCAGCCCGTTTGCCCCAGGGCTGGCCCCCACTTTCTGCTCAGCCAAGTGTTACAAAGCTATTTTAGTTCTGTCCATTGTACCCAGAAGCAACTCCTTCTGCCAGTAAACTTTGGCTACTTTGGCTGAGGTCACTCAGCGCTAGCTCCTTGAGTTGGCAAACCTAGCTTCCCAGACAAGTACCCAGAGACACATCACTATGCTAACAAGTCTCTTGCCCTCAGGCACTTTCTGTGGACTGGGTAGCCAACTGCTCTATCTCTTGCTGGTCCCCTGCGTCTGCTGCCACTGCCTCTTGCCATCTCTGGTGTCACACAGTTCATGGTCTCCTGGATCAAGGAAGTTCTGGTTCTTATTTCTTGATGGTAGTGAGATTCTCCCCTTCTGCCTATTGGATGGTTCATTTTAAGCTTAACAGGATGGCAAAACCAACCAATCCCCTTATTAGGGTTCCATACATCTTATTTGGATGGCCCCACCCCATAACGGTACCACGTACCTTATTTATGTTCTTATTAGTAAGCTATCCAGTCCCCTTGGTGGACCCACAAGCACCTCACATTTGTGTAGTCCTGGTATGGCACTGCAGGTTAATGTGCTGCAAGTTCAGTTTGAACTGCAAGGTCGGAGGTTCAAGCTCACCAGCCACTCCTTAGAAACTCTATGCAGGGTCACTATGAATCAGAACCAACTTGATGGCACTTAACAAAACAGCATATACTCATGGGAGTGTGGTGGCTTTGTAGGAAAAACACTGGACTATGAACCACAAGGTTGGCAGTTTGAGGCCACCAGCCACTCTATGGGACAAAGAGAAGGCTTTCTGCTCCTGCAAAGATTTACAGCCTAAGAAACCCTATACAGGATCACTATGAGTCTGTACCAACTCAACTGTATTTAATAACAACAACATATACTCATGGGGTCCTGATGCAGCACTGTAGGATAAACACTAGACTGCTAACTGCAAGACTGGTGGTTCAAGCCCACCAGCTGCTCCACAGAAACCCAATGCAGGTTGCTAAGTGTTCAGATTGACTTGATAGCACTTAACAATAACAACAACATATACTTAACAATCATTTGGTGGGAGTTATAAAGATTTTGGCTAGAAAGGCCATACTGAGTAATTCACAGCACTGTACCTTGGGTAAATTGCTTACACTCTCTGAGCTTCTGTTTCCTTCTGGGTAAACTAGAAGCACTGACAGAAGCTTTCATGCAAACACTTCTTTAGTGGTAATCATTAAGTCTAATAAGGTTTTGTGTCAATTTGATAACATGTAGTTATCACCTCCGTAATGAAATCTAATGTAATACAACCAACCCCATGATCTGATCTGATGTGATCAGCCCTGGTCTGATATTATTATTCCCATGAGTATATGCTGTTTTGTAAATATTCACTTCTGTGATGTTAATGGGAGCATGATGGCTCCATAGAATTATCACTGGACCAGAAACCACAAGGTCAGCAGTGCAAGCCCATTATCTACTCTGCGAGTGGAGGGTGGGAGATGAGACATCTGCTCCTACAACAATGTATAGCCTCAGAAACCCTTAGGAAGGAACTAAGAATATAATACCCACTTCTTCAGTGTGAAATAGATCAAACATGCA